CTAAAGGCCCTAGCCTTGGTTTAACAGATTCTAGGTTCCATACCAAGCAGACTGAGAGAACAGAAGTCCCCAAACCTTAAAGAACAGCCTGGGAAAATGGAACATCTGCTCTATTCACAACAGACCTGTGAAGGAACCATGGTGGTGTGCATGCATGAGTCCAGCCTCTCTTCCTCTACCCCCACTTGAAGCAAGAGACCAATCATATACTGTAGCAAGGAGGTTGCTTGTTTGTTCCCAGCTGCTTAGCCCTGAAATAATCACACAGAAACTGTGTTAATTAAATCACTGCTTGGCCCATTAGCTCTAGCTTCTTATTGGCTAACTCTTACATATTAATTTAACCCATTTTATTAATATGTGTATTGCCATATGGCTGTGGCTTACCCGTTAAAATTCCGGCATCTGTCTCTAGCAGGGCTACATGGCGTCTCTTTGATTTTGCCTCCTTTCTCCAAGAATTCAGTTTAGTTTTCCCTGCCTAGCTCCGTTCCCCTATAGCTCTGCTATAGGCCCAAAGCAGTTCCTTTATAGACAATGATATTTATAGCATACAGAAGGGAATCCCATATCACCTCCCCTTTTCTTTAAATAAAAAGGAAGGTTTTAACTTTAACATAGTAAAATTACATATAACAAAACAGGTATCAAGCAAGAATTACAGTTATATCTATTTTATTTTTTATCATAACTAAGGAAAACTATACTTATAACTACATATTCTTCAACTCCATCAAATGTAGTAATAGGAGCGGTGGGCTGCGTCCCCGGCACCCGGCCGCCCCCACGGCTAGCTTTACCCGAAATAATTATACAGAAACTGTATTCTTCTAAACACTGCTTGGCCCATTTCTATCTAGCTTCTTCTAGGCTAATTCTCACATATTAATTTAGCCCATTTCTAATCATCTGTGTTGCACCCCAAGGTGCGCTTACCGGGAAGATTCTAGCCTACGTCCATCCTGGGTCAGAGCTGAATCGCGTGTGTCTGCCCAGGAGCCAGGAGCATGGCGTCTCTGCTCCAGAGAGCAGAGCTGTCTGTCTCTGTCTGAGGCGTCTTACCTCACTTCCTCTTCCTCCCAGCATTCTGTTCTGTTTACTCCACCCACCTATGTTCTAAGCTATGAGCCCAAGCAGTTTGTTTATTACTTAACCAATGAAATCAAAAGATTGATATATGACACTCCCACATCAATCAAAGACTCCAGAAGGATATAATATTACCTAAGTAAACAGGAAGTGCATTTTAAGTAACTTTCAAAATCCTAGAATTGACAGAGACATCTTGCTGCCTGAACAGTCACTCAAAGTTCTTTTGTATTGTTGGGGCATCCATCTTCAGCCCATAGTATCCAGCAGACTTTTCCATGAAGCAGGAAATTTCAAAGACAGTTCCACCTATATTGGCAGTTTGTCAATCAGTTTTTTCTGTGTCCTGTAGAATGTCTAGCAGACTCTTCCATGAAGCAGGAACCCCAAAGGACTGTCTCATCTTTAGGCAAGTTTGACAGTCATTTCTTTGTGGGTCCTGCATGTCCAGTTCTTCAAGTAGTACAGGCAAGAGCAGTTTCTTGTCCAAATGGCCAACCAACTCCATAAGGAGCCTCTTTGATGCTCATCATCCTCTTGAAGTAGATTGGTGCTGCCAGGAGCAGATGTGTCTCATTCTCATGAAAAGCCCTAAGTTCTTAAAACATTTTAAATGCCATATTCTGTAGTCTTTGAAAGGTTTGAAGAATACCTATTGGGACTGGAGAGATGGCTCAGCAGTTAAGAGCACTGACTGCTCTTCCAGAGGACCTGGGTTCAATTCCCAGCACCCACATGGCAGCTCACAACTGTCTGAAAATCCAGTTCCAGGGGATCTGACACCTTCACACCAATGCACATAAAATAAAGATAAATAAATCATAAATTTTTAAAAAAGAGTACCTATCTATCTGAAATACATTTCTGAACATCTAGAAAATTTAACTAACATGACTACAAGCTTGAATATTATAAATGATTATTAACTGTATTTCTCGTTACATATTACATTTTAAATGAGCTGCACAAACACAATACCTTAATCAAGAGCAGAAACATATATACACACAGTATAACAAAGTTGACCTTAAATTTTTAAAGCAAGATCCAAACCAATGCAAATCTCTATAGCACATCCTCTTTAAATGTAAAGAAACATTTGTAAACAATTATTTTGGGAATTTGAATGTAGTTCTCTAGACTATTTTCTGCTGATTGGGGGTGCCGTTAATCAGGTCTTTTATGGTGTATTCTGTGTGATAGGTTCATCTCAGTGAGCAGTTGGGTGAAGTAACTTCTGGGGGGTGTTTATGGTAACCTTCCAGGGACCATACGTATTTGTCCATCAAACCGTATTTGTCTGGAAGCAATCCACAGGTTCTCATCGTCCGTGGAAACAAAAGAAGAACCTCTTTTCAAAGCAACATATTCTTAGACCCAAATTCTGAAGTCAAGTTATCTTTGTAATATACATGCTGGTTTAGCTTAGCAGCCTATATAATGAAATGTCTCTCTGAACTTAGTTCCTTCACAGTAAAAAAAATTCAAAGAAAACACAATAATATTCATAATCTGGACTCTCTGTGAATTTTTTATCTTTATTTGGTTTATTCTTTGTTTACTCCTTTTAAGTAATGACTGTCTGTACTCTGTCTCTTTAAAGACTTTACCATTTTTTAAAACCATTTGCTCTTTTTTATATAACTTTCTATACTAATACTAATTTTCTACATTTATCCAACACTGTGACTCATTTAGAGGTCTTTTAAATCTAAATCTCTCCTATTTTGTATCTCTAATTCTTTACTGTCTTGAAGAGCTTTTAAAATGGTAAGCAGCTTGGATTGTAGCTGCTCTGAATGTTGGCTCAACCTCTCTCCACTTTCAAAATGGTGGAGGTACCATTACTGCCAGCTCTGGGGCCACCAGGCAGGAGCTACACTCAGCACTTTAATTCTGAGAATGATCATGCAGCATATAAGCCCTTTTTATCTGAGTATTAGCTAAATATGCTATAAGCAGAGCATTGCATGGCTTGGAAACATCTCTGTGTATGGCGGCAGGAATCCACCTAGTAGTCCTGATACCACCGCCTGCCCAGGTGGGGGAGGGGTGCTGAGCTGCAGGCAGGGTCTCAGCTACTTTCCCAAGCAAGCATACAAGCACCGGGGCCCACAAACCCTATTCAAGTGCTCCACAGCCAGACCTCCAGAAAGAGTCAATCTTGGGCTGTCACCACCCAACTTTTATTATTTTTTTAAGACAGGATCTCACTATGTAATCCTGACTGGCCTAGGACTTGATATATAAACCAGGCTGGCCTCAGGCACATAAAGATTTGTCTGTCTCTGTCAGCTTAAATTTTTGAGACTGTGTCTCTCCTCGAATCTTGGTAGCCAACCAATTAAGTAAGACTGACCAGCTAGCCTGCCCCTGAGATCTGCCCACCTCTGTCTCTCTAGGGTTATATAGTGCAAGACCAACATGCAGATCTGTATCTGAGTTGTGCAGATCAAACTCAGGTTTTCACGTCTGTATGCTAGGTGACTTACTCGCTGTCTCCCAGGCCTCTGCCACTGTTTCTACTCCAGAAAGTTAACTGTCTTACCTCTCACTCAGACCTCCTGCCATTACTGAAATAATGTTATTCTCACTATTCTGTGTGTGATAAGAGTATTAACATTTGTTATGATGTGTTGGGAACTTTGCTGGTTTTTATTATAATCAACTTATTTTATTCTCATATTCTGAGGAATACTCAGAAGTTGGAGCCATTGTTATTGGAAAAAATCAGGAGGAGTAGTGTTCAAAGACTTACAAAAATATAGACTTGGTATTTGACTCTGTAAAAAAAAAGGATTTTTAAAAATTAAATTTGTTTAAAATTTCATACATGCATACAAAATATCTTTTTATTTTGTGGCTTTTTAAGACAGCCTTTCTCTGTATCTTTGGAGCTTGTGCTGGAACTCACTCTGTAGACCAGACTGGCCTCGAACTCACAGAGTCCACCTGTCTCTGCCTCCTGAGTGCTGGGATTACAGGCATGCATCACCACCACAACCGCTTGGTTTAATGTATCTTGATCATATTCATGCCCTCCCCTAACTTGTCCCAGATTCACCCCTAGTCTCTCCCAAATTCCTGACTAACTTCTTCCCCGCTTTTTTTTTTTAATTAAATTCCAATTTGTGTTGTCCATGTACTTCTGACTTTGAGGCCATCCATTGGAGATGGCTGACCTACCAGGGGCACATTTATGATAAACAACCCCCTTCCCCATAGCCACCAACTGTCAATAGCTTCTCATCTAGGAGTTGGGGCTTGGGAGCTCCCCACTTCCATTCTAGAACATTGACTGGCTTGGTCCTATGTGGGTTTTGTAGCCTGAGCTTCTGTGAATTCATGAGTGCAGAGAGCCTGTCACGTCCATAAGATATTGTCTGCTCCTGACCTCTGGCTCTCATCATCTTTCTGTTCTCCGTTCCGTGATGGTCTCTGAGCCTTCCAGAGTGGAGGTGTGATGTATCCCAGTTTGGTTGAGCACGCCATAGACGTTCCACCTCTGCACTTTGGCCAGTTGTGAGTTTCTATATTAACCACTCTCCACAGCAATGTGAAATTTCTCTGATGGGGTCTGAGAGCAGCGCTAATCTGGGTGTTGAGATAGGAATTTTAAAAAGTTTGATACCATGACCATCTAGAAAATAATAATTGCAGTGAACTCCTCTTTCTGATGTAGAGGTTAAGCTGAGGACTGTGCCCTGTAAAAGTGAGAACAGCTTACAGAGGGCTGACAGTTTAGGGCAGACAGAAGTCAGCTAACTAGTTCCAGACAGGCCTGGACGCAGCGCGCGTGCGCAAATTGTCCCTCAGGCTCCGCCCCCGCCCCGCCCCCTGGGAGGCGCTCGCTCCTGGCTCTGGGGCTTGCGCACTGCGTCCCCAGCCAGAGGCTCCTTCCCGACCGGGGACTTCCGGTACGCCGGGTGCGGTTCCGGGTCGTGTCGCGGCTCGGGGTAACAGGGCTGCTGTTGCCGGCCGGCGGCGGCGGGGCGCGGCGGGGTCATGAGGGCGAGTTTGGGGCGCGGCAGCCGAGCCGGCCGGTAGAAGCGCCGGTCCTCGAGGTGCAGGGGCCGAGAGGCGTGGGGAAGCCGGGGCCTCCCTCAGGGACGTGTCCTGGGCGAGGCGGCCCGTAGTGTGGAAGCAGCTTCAGGTAAAGGTTGCCCCAGCCGCCGCCCCCTGGCCCGCGGCACCCTGTGGCCCTCAGCACCCTGCTGCCCTCGCTGCCCAGCGGCCGCCCGTCGGGGCCGTGCTCGGTGGCCTGGGAGCATCCGTTTCCTGGCCCTTCCCGAGCCTGACAGCTGGGTGTGTGACTTAGGTGAGGAGAGGCTGTGGACTGGTGGTGTGGGGGCGGGAGCGGGGGGCCCCAGGCACCGGCGGCTTCAGGCCCAGAATCGGCAAGGTCCGGTGCCCCAGCTCCATTCTGTGAAATCAGGTCTTCAAAGCATTGCCTGGGCAGTCCTGACCCAGTCCTGCAGATTGTTTTCCTATCTGGAGTGCTGCTGGGAACTTGGATTCCGGTTTTTCTGTTTATGGGAGTGGCAGGAGTTGTGTAGCTGGGAGTGGGTGGGAAGAAGAAAAGACCAGAGTTTAAAGAAGTGTATAACTCCAACTGTAAGATGAACCAGGGACCTAGAAATTTGTTACACATTCTTTGAATGATTGCAAATATTTGAAACTGTCGCGGTCCCCAACTCCGTGCTTGTTATAAACCTCCAAACAGCCAAGTCCAAAACCCTCTGCCGTGTGAATAGTGACGTGGACACACTCATCAGTTAAAACGTCGGCATTCACTTGACGAACAGAAGGGATGGGTCCCTCCAGTGAACACCTGTCAGAGCAGAAATAAAGTGCGTTATTCCTGTGTTTTGGGGCCCCACTAGCTGCAATGAAAGTACTTGCTCAGTGATAATTGCCCCCATCTTTTTCAGCTTCCACTTCTGCAAACTCACTGGAGTCTGAGGTTGACGGGGCATACCAGGTGCCTCTTTGCTATTCAGCTGGGTGCTCACATCTGCCGTCAGCTACTAGATGTGCAGAGTTCCTGCATAGCATCTTTGCGCCTATGGCTCCTGGCTAGTTTCTGCAGTTAAGCTTATTAAAGTCCCCATTATAGCCTCCCTCTGGATAAGTAAGATCTCAGATCACTTTTGATTTGTTCCCAAGTACTGAAAAAAGAAAGTTTACCTTGCCTCATCTAGAAGCTTCCCGGGTTTTGGTTTCTAACACATTATTTATGCTTCCCACGGTTCAACTGTAGGTGGTCTTGCTTAACCAATTAGGGACAATCCAGCGTCTAATGATTTCTTTCTTTACTTCTTTCTTAAGAATTATCTTTTTTTTTTTAATATTTATTTATTTATTATGTTTACAATATTCTGTCTGTGTGTATGTCTGCAGACCAGAAGAGGGCACCAGACCTCATTACAGATGGTTGTGAGCCACCATGTGGTTGCTGGGAATTGAACTCAGAACCTTTGGAAGAGCAGGCAATGCTCTTAACCACTGAGCCATCTCTCCAGCCCTTAAGAATTATCTTTTAAATATATGTGTCCATGTGGGGTTTGTGTGAGGGCAGTTGCCTGCAGCGGTGAGAAAAGCAGAAGAGGGTGTCAGATGCCCTAGGGCTGGAGCCACTGATGCTTGTGAGGGACATGTGGGTGCTGGGAACTGAACTTGGGTCCTCCACAAGAGCAGTCCTGGCTCTTAACTGCTAAACTGTGTCTCTAGCCCTGGGGATGATTTCTTACTTAGAACCCTATAAACGCTTGTTATTTATAGTCATTTGATCTAGCAAGCATTTATTGTGTGTAGATATAGGTCAGGCACTGTCGTACAGTTAAAGAAGACTCTGTCGCCGGGCAGTGGTGGTGCATGTCTTTAAACTTAGCAATTGGTAGGCAGAGGCAGGCAGATCTCTGTGAGTTCGAGGCCAGTCTGGTCTACAAGAGCTAGTTCCAGGACAGGCTCCAAAGCTACAGAGAAACCCTGTCTCGAAAAACCCCCAACAAAACAAAACCCCAAACCAAAGATTGTCATTTTGTGCTGTGAGAGGGAAGTTGTCCCTTCAGTGCGGTGACAGGCACCGGCATGAGGAGTTTCTCAGGAGTGGGGGTAGTGAAGTGTTAGCTTTTGAGAAATGACTTCTGGTCAAGGGAATGAGCAAAATGCAAGGTAAATTGAACTTTAGTTTTTCTCATTTAATCATTTTAACTAAAACTTATAGACAGGAAGACATAGGATAATTACACAACTGGTATGAGACAGAGCCAGGTCTTGCCTTCTTTCTTTCCATGGCACTCTATGCAGGTACATATTGAAACAGCAGAGTAAGAGGAAAAAGAATGTTGAAATGGACAGCAAGAAACTCCTCTAAAGGCAGACAAGGCAAGGTCCTGTGGTGCAGGCCTGCTGCATGACAGCCTGAGACAACAGAGTACTTGCACAGATTGCTTGAGGCTAGCCTGGGCGTTAGGGAACCCCCCCCCCCCCTTTTTTAAAAAAAAAAAAAAGACATGTTGGGCTGGAGAGCTATTCCAGCAGTTCAGAGCTCAGGAGGCTCTTGTAGAGGACCTGGGTTCAGTTCCCAGTACCTGCATGGTAGCTCACAACCATCTATAATGGGATCTGATGCCCTCTTCTGGCATGCAGGCATACGTTCAGACAACATGCATACACATAACTAAAAAAAATATTTGTTAGCAGGCGGTGGTGGCTCATGCCTTTAATTTTAGCACTTGGGAAACAGAGGCAGATGGAACTTTGTGAGTTTAAAGTCAGCCTGGTCTACAGCCTGAGTTTCAGGATGGCCATATCTACACAGGGAAACCCTGTCTCCACTCCCCTTCCCCCATAAAAAAGGAAAAAAAGAAGAAAAGAAACCAAGCACCCTAAGCTGATCTTTCTAAGCAACACTTCAGATTTGGGATGTTCAAGTTCGTAATGCTCATCTAGTGAAGTCTGTGAACTGGCTCCAAAACTCAGAAAAATCCGAAACCACTTCTGGCCCCAAAAACATTTTGAATAAGGAATTCTCAACCTTCCAATTGTCAGGTTCACCTAATGACAGCTACAGCATCTCTGGGATGTGGTCCCAGAGGGTGAGTGGGTTTCTAGTGCGAGTAAAACCAAGTCATTGCACATGTTTCTCAGCTGTTAGATAATTTGTTGGAAGTCAGTGTCCTATGAAGTCTTACTCAAATCAAATTACAAAAAGTTCCAGGCATATCACTAGGATATTGCCATTGCTGCTTTTAGCCATTTTGAGAGGTCAAGTGGAAGGGCTAGATTCTGAGAGCACGAATGCCAGGCAGTCAAGATCAGTTTCAGTTTCTACCCTGACTTGCCAGTTGATAAAGACTTGGAGGGTCTGTGATTCATTCAGCAGTTACAGGCAAAATGTTAGGCCCTTGAGATGCCACTGGGAATAAAGCCAGGTCCCCACTTTGTGGCCATTGGCATTCCAGTGGGGAAAATGTGTGTAGATGAAGTAGCACGTTCTGTATGTGCTGCCCCAGGGTCTGTCCCTGTGAGGGAAGGTGTGAGCGTCACCCTGGTTTTATAGATGAGGGAACTAGGGCATGGAAAAGATAAATAACTTCTTGGGGTGGGTGCAGCTCAGTGGTAGAGTTAGTACTTAGCCTGAGTGAGGAACGAAAAAGTAAACAAAAGAAAAAGAAGTTTGCTGAGTTTTATACAATTGATATTTTGAGCTAAAGGATTTCTGCCAGCCTCTTCAGTCCTGTGCTAGGTTGCTTGTTCTTGCTGTCTGAATGTGCACCTGATTGAAATGCTACAAAGAGGAGCCAGCTGTGTGCAGAGCTCCAGCTGCTATCGCTGGCTAGTGGTCTCTGCACTCAGGGCCCATCAGCTAATCTACTGTTTCGGGAGTGTTTGTTTTGTTTTGTTTTTAGAGTGGGTGTATTTTGCTTGTTGACTCAACTGAAGACTTTGAAAACTGTTCCAGTTCAGTGGGTTTACAAGATCTTAGAGATAGGTTATTCCAGCCTTACTATTAAGGATGCAGCCAGATGTCAGATTGCCACGTGACAGAGAAGTCTGTTACATTTCCCACTGAAGGTGCCCTGACCTTGTGTTTACAGAAAGAAACCTTGTCTTAGAAGCACAGAAGTCTGGGAAATTGCTAGAGAGAGGAGTATTTTAATTCTTGCCAATCTAGTTCTCAGAGTGGCCAGTGTATGATTTTCTCATGTCATCAGCTAAATTTTGAAGGGACAAGGAGACCTTGTGATACTTGGATTTGGTGCTTGTCTCACTGTAAATACCATCAGTTTGTCTTCCCTGGCCTTCTTCGTAATGCCACAAAGTGATGTTCCTTCAGTAAGTTCTGTGGACCATGTTCCCGTTGCCCTCACAGCCCTTTATAGTGGGTGGAATTACACAGGAGAGCAGGTAGAACTTATTGAGATGAAAAACTTGGCAGCCAGAAAAGCACAGCTTTGTAGAAAGTGTCTTCTCAGAGAGGGACTCACCTTCAGGATAAGCTTCGCTGCGCAACACCTTTGAGGTCTGGGCAAATCATTTCCGAATCCTTGGATCTTTCCCTCTCGGGATGGTGACTAGTGAACATCAAGTCTTGCTGAAGTCCTTTCAGGAGCTGCTGTGCTTAGTTAGAGGTACACAGCAGGGTACTCTCTTGCTGTTCCTTCTCTCTGCACGCCAGGCCATGCCCTGCCTGTATCCTCTGCTCTTGCCTCAAGATTGAAAGGGGACAGAGAGTCACCCAGCAGGGTAAGAGAAATATGGTCAAGGAGTTCCCAGCCTAAGAGTTCAATTTATTGTTATTTAAATCCCCCTCTTTCACTAGGTGAAAATTGAAGAAATATTGGTCTTCTTTTTATTCATACTGTATTATATAAAGAAATAATATGAAATATAAAAATGAAGAGAATAAATCCTAAGCAGTCATTCAGAATTTATTAGCTCTACTTGGAAGCATTCTGGGTGTATCAGGGAAATGGATGTAAGATAGGAAGCCTAAAATTTGAACTGAAAGTAGAAGATAGTTTTAAAAAATTAAAAATGAGAAAATGAAGAGGAACCACTTAAAAAAACAAAGTTGAAATTTTGCAGAAAGGTGTTAGAGTCACTTCTGGAGTTACTGTGATTGCTTGAGAAATAAATTGACTGTTA